ATACATGTCATACATGTTCCTCATGTTTGCACAGCACATTCATGATATCTCTGCTTCGTGTAAAGTCTGTTTGTTAAGCTGATATTACAGATGCAAAGACTGGAGACTGTGAGACACTAAAAAATACTAATGGCTAACAGTGCTACCCCTCAGCCTTCTAGTAGATAAACCTATGGTATCAATTTAGAAATCCTGCATCACCTTGGCTTGATGCATGCTCAATCATCCAGGTAAGTAAACCCCAAAAGGTTGATTCTGTTTATCTGGACGTAGCGTTCTCCCACTGAAAACGCTACAACCAGATGAACAGAATCAACCATTTGGGACCTACATCACATTATTCTCACGCTCTAGTATTCACAAGATTGTCAGAAAACCTGACCTCTGACCTTAAAGGTCAATGTCTTGGATTCAAATTCGTCCAAAATCTTTCGTAAACCTTTGGTATCAATTTGAACCTCCTGCGTCGCCTGCTTCTTGAGTTATCATATTCACAAACTTGGGTTTCCAAGCTGCCTGCCCGCCTCACGGCCTTTTACGTCAGAGGGATAAAAAGTGTATCCACTTAGGCAGGTCAAGGCTAAGCGGATATGTTTATATACACGGCCATCAAAACTCAAAGTGCTGGTCCGGGGATGTTATATCCAGAGGTGGGACCAAGTCATTGTTTTGCAAGTCTCAAGTAAGTCTCAAGTCTTTATCCTCAAGTCTCAAGTCACTGGTGTAAAAGTCCGAGTAAAGTCACAAGTCTGAAACTTTGAGTTTCAAGTCCTTGCGAGTCTTTAAAAGAAATGAAAAAAGAATGTTGCAGTTATGCTAAATGTAAATATTAGACCATGTGATTTTTAAATCTGTGTTTTTCTCAACACATGACGAAATAGTGAACTTAGAAAATATACACAAATTGTGAAATTGCATGTCTATAAAATGCAGCTCAATTAAACTTCGCTCCAAGAATAATTTTCACCGACAGTTCTGAGATAAGCTGCATATTCTTGGATGCGCTTTTAGGACCGGCTTTAAAATCGCATGACAAAAAACTGAAAACTGTATCACCAACAGAGCCTGGACAAGATTTGCTAGTTAGATGAAGTCAGCTATCTCATCGTAGCAAAAGAGAAGCACCACCTACTGTTCTTTATGCAACTTCAACTGTCGGAGAAAGTTGAAGTTGTTCCATCTGTCTGTGATTCTCTTCTTGCATGTTTTTCATATTGCATTTTGGTTTTTGTTGACTACTTCATAGTTTATGTACCTGAAAAAAATAACATTTTTGAGCGTTT